ACGTTAAGGTTAAGGTTAAGGTTTAAGGTTAGGTTAAGGTAACGTACGTAACTAACTTAATAACGTAAACTAAACTAACTAACTACTAACTACTACTACTACTACTACTAACTAACTACTACTACTACTCTCTCCTCTCTCTCTCTCTCTCTCTCTCTCTCTCTCTCTCTCTCTCTCTCTCTTGCAAAAACCAGCATTAGAAACTCATACTTGGTCCCCAACTCACTCATTGCAAAAACCGAGTCAGTGTGCCCAAAGTCTTCAAATTAGGATAAAAACTCAATAACATTTTTAGAAAATAATTATTCATGACAACAGCAGGATTCAAACTTGAGACCAAGTTTAAATAAGTGATTTGAATTCCAGTATATTCAATTTAAAAAACTGAAAGCTTCACCAACCCTGAGGATTTCATAATAAAACTCATGTACCCTCTGAATTGAGTAGCAGAAAGCCAAAACCTTGTTCTTGAACCATGAACTATGGTACGAGTTTGCTCATATCCCACAGGAATGCAAGACTAACCCAATAAAGCTGAAGCCCATGTCCTTCTCACAGTTCCACACTGTTTTGATCCAAAATTTGAAAGCAGTACTTACTAAAAAGGGTTCACCGGAAAATCACTGGATGGGCTAGTAGTTATACAGATTATCTATGGAGATTGAGTAATGTTTTTTACCAGCATTAAAACAATTGCATCTTCAGCTCGAAATGGCCAATTCGAACTGGGACCAATAGCCACCCAGTCTGAGTCCCTCCTTGAATTGGCACTCCGACCCAGGGAACCTAGAAGTGTATAAGCACCATTAAAAATAGATACATTTGTTTAGAAACAATGTTTTTAGGAACATTTTAAATTCCTAAACCATGTTCAAACATTTTGTACTCTTTAAATTTTGTTGACTTTTTTTTCTTTTTAGTTTGGCTGAGTCGACCGAACCAATGCAGCTGGTTCAACTTGGACCAGAGGGTGACTGGTTCGCCCCACAGGGGTCTGAGTTTTCAAACACTATTTTTGACAATGGACATATTTGTTTAGCAGGAACAGATTTTTTGTGAAAGTGCTTTCCTGTGGGACTATCACTTTCCCGCGTTTATTTTCTTGGAAAGCAGGAATCCCTGTGGCAGCTGGGAAAGTGCTTTGCCAGCCTTTCTCAACACTCATATATTTTTGTGAGAAAGCAGCACTCCAATTATTTAGATGTGAAAGCACTTCCGCAAGCTGATGGGGAAGTTTTCTTAGCTTAGTGCACTTGGTAAAGCACTTTCTTTTAGATAAATGTGCCCAGAGTATTCACCATTATCAACAACCTCCTAGCCACCTCCTAGCATTCCTAGCAAGAGACTCATGAGGCCGCTCATTCCTTGGCTAAGGATGGTGTTCGTAAATCTTTGCTTCTTTTTTCCAAATCAATGTTTCAAAGAGTGCTAGGCGGCACCTAGGCAGTTGGGGGGGTCCAGGCCGCCTAGTGCCTAGGCAGGGGCTCAAAACCTGAGCGGCCTAGTAGAATTTTTTTTTTTTTGGGTTTTCTCTCTCTAAAATAGCCTCAAATGGGTTTTAGGTTTCAAATGAACGTAAAACCCACAATTTTGCCCCTTTAGTATTAAAAAAATGACCCAAAAATACCCTCAAGGAGTGGCATTTCCGCCGCTGGGCGGGGCGCCTAGGCGGGTTCATGCGGGCACCAGGGATATCCACCTAGTTTGGCTACCTAGGCCTGGGCGCATCCGCCTAAGCGGCCGCCTAGGTGCTGGGCTGTCCGCTTTTTAAAACTATGTTCCAGATACATTTGATAAAGGCCATTTTTGTCCAGGGCTCACTTTTGCATGCATCATATACGTACATCAGTTTCAATTTCAATGTATTCTAATTTATCATAAAACAAAAGAATACAAAAGCACCAGCATTTTCCAGTGGTGCTTCCATCGAGAAAATTGGCCACAAGGTAACTGCAATACTACCTAAGCTTCCCATAGAATTGTCAAATCTCATAGCATCACAAGGCAGTCTGACCACTAATTAATTTAAACCAATTCGACTTCCAGAAAATATAAAATAATCAACAAAAAGCCTTTTTAGTTACAGCAATATTTATACCTCAACGACTATCATGCAATTACTATAAAAGCCATACAATCACTTTTAAAAAATGATCAAGATAATTTGACAGCAATAGTCAAGAATTTTGTGATTTGCCCACTTCCTAATATCAGGATGACTCAAGCATATCATAAAATCAATATTTTTCTTGAAACTCGAATGTAAAAGATACTTTCAACCTCAGTGCATGGATATTTTTCTTATAAAGCATCTTACCAGATTCTTGTAGGACATCTACTAAAGGTTCTCTGCGCTTGGATCTACGACACCTTGCCTGCCCTTTCTTATTTTTGAATGGTGAACATTTGATGTCTTGATTTTGACTTGAATCAAAAAGCTTTTCTGTACAAGCAAGAATGTAATCGAGCTGATAGTCAATCCCTGATTGCTGGAAGACAAATATATTGTGTTTTAGTAGTAGCTGGAATAAAAAACTTAAAGATGGGGTGGTAATATAAGCATGAAATTAAGAATGTTGACATATCAGAAACAATCTTGCACTCTATTAAGTATTAAGAGAACAAAAACTCCATGTGATGCTCTATCCTTGGCTCTCTTGCAAAAAAAAATCCTGACAGTTGTTTCTAGGACAATTATTTGAAAAATCCAATGGACAACACCAAGAACTGCATGTGCCTGAAGTTAAACTAGGAGGCAAAAACAGGACTTCCCTAGATCATTGAGACACCATAAAATCACAACCCAGAGAGTTCTACAGTGTTCTTAATAGATTTAACCGCTACAGTTGATTCTGAAGGCCAAGTCTATTTTTACATCAAATCAAAAGTTTTTCTATTAGCTTAGTAAGGACCAAAATTGTTACACAAACTAGCCAAGTACCATAACTGATCATGAGGGAACCAGAACAGTCATCCAATTCCGATGAAATCACTTTGAGTTTACTCGTAGATCAGTGTGCCACACAAAACATCTCATAATGAGCTACACACATATAAAGCTACGCTATCCATGACTTGCACATGATCCCCACAGGCCCTAATAACGTAGTTTAAGTCCCAGGAATTATGAAGACTATATGGTAGCTAAACTTGGATTGGAAATAGAAGTGTCTGAACACCCTTTGTATACTTAGAGAAGGTTGTGTTACTAAAATACAATTCTTGGATGTGAACCTTACGAATAAAAATACTAAACATAAGAGTTGAGAGATTTTGACTTTGACTCCTCAACAACCACTTCCTGAATGGAACATAAAAGAATCCTCGTTGATTGTTGACAAAGAGTGGCAGCTCAACTCACCTAGACATCAACTTGAGCTAATCAAGAGAATGGTTTGCTTTCCAAATCACATATAGTTTCAATCAGTTGTATCTTTACTATGCTTATTTTTCATATTTTTAGAAGTACTGTAAACAGAAAAAAATCCAAAACAAGAATATAACCCAGGAATATAGATAATTTAGAAAAACAAAAAAAAGTTAAAAAGACTCCACAAGAACTTAAAATGGCCGGAGATTACATAAAACCAAAATCAATTTCCATTTACAAAACCAATGGAAAGAAAGGCATGGATTCAACTAAGTTATGTTGATTTGGGAAAGTTAAGAAAATTATTAGTACAAAATGACTTGGCAAATATGTGAGGTAAGTCCACTCAAGCAAGTCTCCAGACAACTTAAGTATAAATTTCCAACCCAAACCCAGACCCAAGCTCAATCAATCACAAAGTCAGGGTCTACAAGGTGATCAATGAGTAGGTGACCAAGCAGATATTCACAATATTATTAAAAACATTATTATATAAAAACCATTCGTTTCAGATAAAACATGAACAAACCTCCCACAGATTATGCCCAAACCAGTGGTTTAAAAAACTGATCGGTGCCCCGGATCAAGCACCCCAAAAACCCATTTGGATCGGTGAATCGGCGATACGGATCGGGGAATCGGCCGAATCAATCGGATTAAGCCTTAAATAAATTCCAAAAAATTATTAAAATTCATTATAAATGTTGTTTTTTAGGAATCCAATAAGAAAGGGAGGTACTACATTATTAACTTTCATTTTTTCATCAATATGCGAATATTGAGATGTGCTTTCCCTGTATGAACTTATGTTAACCATTAAATTTACATCACACAAAAGAAAAATCATAGAATTGTCATGGATGAAGTATATGATCATACATGGACTACAATAAAGAATGGATTCAATCGATGAAAAAATGGCCACAAAAATCTCGAATTGGAGTAACACCCTAATCCATTAAAAAAAAAAACCTAAATTATTACAACCTAACTAACTATAATCCAAAATTATTACAACTTAACTAACTATAATATTATATACTGAAACTGAAATTGTTGGTTTATATTTTATAATTATTTTATTATACAAATAATAACAAATCCAAAATAGCTTATAATATCATCTAATTTAAAATAAATTATTGACAACTGTCAAAAAAAATAGTACATTACACAATTTATAATACAAATAAATTAATAAATAAAATAAAATATTTGGTTATCAATGTAGAAATTATTAGAATGCATACCAATTTTTGAAATAACACTTTAATTTTTCAAAAATCTAATTTTTTAGGTTTCTAGAATAAATTTAGTGGAAGAGATTGTTAGTAGAGAGAGAGAGATTTCAAATGGCCTCATTGTATGAACCCTATCTTTAAAATTAATATTCCTAAATTATGTTAAAGACCACCACATTATAAAATAAAAAATATAATTAAACCATTTATTCCTAGGTAAAAAAAAATCTAATAATAGCATTCGTAGATGAGAGAGAGAAAAAGAGCTAATATGCTCCAAGCCTATATTGTATTACCTTTACATATCTAATTTAAGCTTATAATAATCGCAGCTTAAATGCATGTTTGAAAAACATGATACTTGTTGTATTACCTTTTTTTTATTTTTTGACAAGAAATACTTGTTGTATTACTTCTTTTTTTTTTTGACAAGAAAAACATGATACTTGTTGTATTACCTTTTTTTTTTTTTTAATAAGAAATACTTGTATTATTTTTTATTTTTTTTTATGAGAACAGTAGGAAAACAACAAGAAATACTTTTTACTTTTTTCTTGACAAAAAATACTTGTTGTATTACCTTTTATTACTTTTTTACCAGAAAAATATGATACTTGTTGTATTACCTTTTATTTTATTTTTGATAAAAAATACTTATTGTATTACTTTTTTTTTTTTTTTACAAAATAATAAAATAACAAGAAATACTTGTTGTTTTAAGAAAATGGTGCCGCCCAGGAGGTTCGAACTAAGGACCTTCGATGGGTAAGAAGAACGTGACAACCAAATATACCAATGCACCACTTGTTGTACTATTTACTTGAATAAAAGGTTATATTAGAAAGCAAAAGTATATTAAGGAATTGTCCCACATCGAAGAGATGTGGGAAGAAGAAGCCCTATTAAACAAGAAAACCAACTCCTACTACCACAAAATATTGATGCATGGTCACACATACATGGGTTTATCGATCCTGATGTCATCAGGGGGATGCATGACGTCGTTTTAACGTGTAAGGGAAGATTGTAATGTCATACGCTGATCTATGACGTCCTACACGATTTACTGTACAGAATCACTGGTTCTTCTCTAGAACCAAGAGATTCAACGTTTTACACAAGAAATCGACATGGGGTGACCAATTCCCATGTCGACTCGCGCAAGTCCGTTGCGACTCGCCGTTTTTTAAAATACTGGCCCCAACTAACTCAATAATGAAATGGGTGTGATCCACCTGAAAGAGACCTAGGTCAAAATGTTTGCCAACTATGCTTGAAGTCATGGAAAGTGTTAGATTCACAAATGGGTGCAATCAGTAGATCAAACAGCAGCATTTTTATGACATTCATGGAAGAACATTTCTTTGATATACTACCAAGCAATATAGCAAACAATATTAAGGGAGCAGGAGTTTATTAAACCAAAATATGACTCCCTTAACGTTATGATTCGTGAAGTCGAATGTACATTAAAATGGTAAAGCTTTCACTAGAAGCATGGCCTTTTTAATATAAAGTATCCCATACATAAATAACTAAGAAAAGAACCCCACAGAAGGTTAATTGCACCTCCCATCAGTATGCATTATGAAATATGTTCCACAAAGCATGACAATGTTACCAAAACCCTGTTTTCATAAAGTTCATGTATTCATTCCTTTCAATTTGAGGTGTACGTTAGATTATAAATGGTTTAGTAATCTTAGAATTTCGAGAGTTCTATGCAAACACCAAGCCTTTCTTAATCTGAAACATCCCAACAACTACATATATGTCTAAAAGATGAACCCCACAAATGGTGAATTGCACCTTGCATCTATACGCACTGTAAGGCATGTTGGGGAAAGCAGTGTTTTAATATGCGGGATGCGGCCCGATGTGTTGGGAGGGCCAATGCGGCGATGCAGTCCAGATGAGGGTGCATCATCGCGATGCGGTCAATAAATATAAAAAAATTCTAAAACAACTAAAAAAATAGGTTAATGCAGAGAAAAATTATGGAGGTCATTTATGTGATAGTAGGTAGTTATCGCCTGTCGAAGATTTTGTATCCACAATCCTCTGATAGATACTAGAAACTAGTTTTATAAAACATTCAACAAACATAATCACAAATTTACTACCACAAACTTTAAAGTAGCAAAATATAAGCTATCTATGAAGATTAAAGAGTTCAAAAATCAAGCTCAAGAAATCATCATTTCTCAACTCTTAGGATTTGAGAATCTAAAAATCTAAATTTCAAATCATAATAAGAGAAGTTATCTTGAGAGCCTCCATGTGCATCATCATCAACATTATCATCCTCGACAGCCTTCACTTATTATTTTTCTTCCTGAATCTCCTCTGAGTCAACCTCCTCCTCCTCCTTGATCTTTAGAGCCGATGTACGACTCAACCCAACTTTACTCCTTTGTGCCCTAGTGTTAAGTCATTCATCTTCATTAGCCCCTGTGGCTAGCTCAACATTAAGCCAAGTAAGATCCCCACCCTCAAACATATGCTCTAGTCGTGGATCCATGGTCCACTCACTTGTGCAATCACCATCAGGTTCATACAATTGAATAGGGTTGAGATCCATGTGCTTTCGATACCTCTCCCTAAGCCACTCATTATACAGCACATAAACCAAATCATTCAACTTCTTCTGCTCCAACCTATTTTTTTATTTAGTATGGAGTTGTGGTAGAAAACAAGGAAATAAGCAAAAGTAATAGATTTTATTTTTTTGTTTCTACTTTTACATTTCTTAGACAAGTTAGATTTGAAATCCAAGAATAAGTCTTAAGGACTTACATGCTCAAATGCACTTCAATTGCGTTTGCAACCAGATGAGCTACATGTGAGACTCAACACTGGAATAGTAAAACGTCGTAGA